TTTCTGGTGTTAATAGTAACAAGACACACCATTCATATCTATTCTCTTCTTCCTCTCCATTATCTTCTTCTAGCTTCACATTCAACAATTGATATTTATCATTAACACATTGCACTTTACATATTTGCTATCTATAGTTTCAGTTCAACATTTAAGTTTTAAAAATGCGTTAGTTTAGGAGAAAATCTTATAGAATCCAATTCACCCCTATCTTGGGTTAGGTTACTTAGGCAACATATTTCTCACCATTAACAAGAATAATAAATAGTGGAGAAGATATACACAATTAAATAATTTGAATCCATCTTTCATGAAAGAAGGGCCATTCTACCCTATTATAAACCATTGAAATGTCCACTCTAAGAGCAAACACTTTTCTTTTCCCCTTTTTCTTCTTAATGCAAATATATCATTTGGTCTTGGATATTTATAAGCCCTCCCTCCCCATATATAGTCTCTATCTCCTTACTTGACATGCCAAAAGAGTAATTTAAAGAAACAATAAGACACAAGGACCAAAATAGCTTAGTGTAATAATCAGAGATAAGGTCTTGATCTCATTACAATCATAGCATTGAGAACCACCGGAATGTCAAAGACCATTGGTAATGCATCTATCTCAATGATGAATTGCAGAAAGATAAAAATACCTCTTATTGTGATCCCCTTCACAAAACTAGGCCTCCCTAGATCGTTGCCTCCAAAATAGTTCTTCTCAAGCTTGGACCTCCTCCAAAGATGTATGCAATTCCTCTAGTCTTTGCGATGTTTTCTCATAGGGAAAGAGTTGCTGAAGAGTATCAATCTCCTTCCAAAAAGCCTTCATCTAGGCAAAATATTGCCAAATATAGTCCTATTCCACCTACTATGAGATCTTACCACCTTAATCCTAGTGACCACATCACTCCGCCCACAAAACACCTTTCTAAGCATTGTTTACCACATCCTTACAAGTTGAATCATGAAGTCATATGGCTCAATTTTGAACATAGACCATATAGGTTGAGAGTCTTCACCAAAATTAAGAAGCGGATAATGGTGTGATTGGATTGTCGGCAAATGAAACACCATAGCCCTTGGAAATAATTTTTGCCATTCCACATTAACCAAAGCTTGATCCAATTGTTCAATTACATTAACTAGCCTTGTACAGTTATTTAACCAAATAACACATCTTCCACTAAAACCATTATTAATCTGATGACATCAATTTTGAGCCTTTGCCAAAGGATATCTGCTACACCCCACTCCTTTTTGACTACCCCTCTTCTCCTCTTCATGTGTAATGGCATTGAAATTGTCAATGCACAACTTGGGACACAAAAAATGCTCTGCAATTCCTTAAGGCTATGCTTGGTTTGAAGGAAAAGGTAGGGAAAGGAAGGGAAATACAGGGAAACCTATACAAGATTTGTAAAGGTTTCCCTTCCTTTTCTTTCCTTTCCCTACTTTTTCCTTCAAGCCAAACATAGCTTAAAGTAATTCCCAATCTCCAATTTAATCACATACCACCTTTCCTCCCTTCACTTGGAAAGATACCAAATCCTTCAAAACCAGCACTTGTTAGAACCATCTCACCCCTTTGCAAAGTAGCCTTAGTCTTGAGACAAAAAGAAACACAATTTTGTATCTTTATAGAGTGCTCTCAACTCTTGAACTACAGGGAGGTGCCTTGAACCTCTATAGTCCGAGCAAGGACCTTCATTGGGCACTCTAGGATTGTTGAGGGATATCTGTCAAAGCTCCATTAGAAGTGACAGTGTCACCATGCAAATCCCCTATAGCATCAATCCTATTAACATTCGCACCATCTAGCTTCCTCCCCAAAACTCCAACCACATCCTCAATCCTTGTTTTGCTATCAGAACACTCCCCCACACATGGAGTCAACTAAACAGTATAAAAGTGTGAATGTTGTGTGAAACTTTTTTTGGACTAAAATTACTCTCTATTTTTATTTGAGAAAGAGTATAAATGTCATTTATTATAGTTTTAATGTCACCTTTAATTGCTACAATAATGGCCATATTTGTGTATTTAATCCATCTCTAAATGTAAGGGTTGAAAATGTAACTTCAATTATTGCTTTCCACCTCATTTAACCCTCTCTCATTAAGTCTTATACTTGAGGTATTAAATCCCATTTTCTCTTATTAAATATTATATTTTCATATTATTCTTCGCTAACAAATGCACTAATTAGATTTATGTCAATACTTTTAACAATATAAACTCATATATTTTAAAATTGACTTGAAAACAAAAATTTTAAAATAGAAATGAATATAGAAATTTACAAAAAATGTAGAAAAAATTAGACATATCTATGATATTTTTATTAATCAAATTAGAAAAATAAGTGTATCTATAAAGTAAATGTGACATATTAGAATTATTTTTACACACAAAAATACTAAAAAAATTGAACACATCTATAATTATATATTTACACTACTATATATTAAAAATATGAATAAGATTGTGGAACTTTCTTTTGATTAAAATCAAGGTTTTAAAAACCAACCCAAAAACGAAACCGATTTGACTTTTGATTTCTAGGTCAGGGGTTCAACCGTCCAACTTGAGTGGGTCAAATCGGTAAGATGTAAAATATAATGTATCTTTTTATTTTGACCATTAAATTAGGATTAGTTAAAGTTTATCGTATATATACATTATTATGAGAGGGGGATGTGAGACTCTGAGAAGAAGAAGAAGAAGAATGAAGCATTGTCGGAGGTGGTTGTCACCATGTTCATTGGTCATTGCATAGCCATTTTACTTTGAGAAGAGGAAGAAGAAGCCGTTGACGACTATCTCCATGTTCATCATCATTGTTGCTACAACACCGTTTGCCCTCTTCTTACATCTCTCTCATCTCTCTAAATCTCTCTCAAATCCCATATCATTTGCATCATTGGTGACTTGGTGTATTTCAAATTTTAATTTAAGATTAGTGTTTAATCTCTCACCTATTGAATTGATTTTTTAATTTATTCATTGGAGTTGCAATTTTTTTTTTTGCTGTTATAGAAATGAGAAAACTAAAAATCCAAATAAAAAAACTAAAAACCCTAACTAATTTTGGCCATCGGGAATAATTGAACAAGATTATGAGATATGAAAGTTTTTTTTTATTTTTTCTATTTTAAAATAAATAAAAAAAATTGAAATTAGTTTAAAAAGAAACATGAGATTCGTTAACTGGGTCGAACATTGTAATGGTTAAACCATATGGGTCAATAATTTTCTAACCATTTCAACAGCTTTTTGTAAAATAGTGGTTCAGGGCCAAAATGGAACCAATAACTTGACCAATTCCTGGGCCAAAATGGTTCGATTGTTCGGTTTGGTCAAGTTTTTAAAGCAGTGACTAAAATACTCATTTTTTTAATTTAGTCTCTATTTAATTGTAAGGTTTAAATTATAAATTGAACTACTACTTTTCGCCTCATTCCCACTATTTAAATCTTACATTTTTTTTGATAAATGAACAAAAGAAAAAAGATACAACAAAAAGATAAAACAGTACAAAAAGAAGAATATAGCCAAGCAGGTAGGCATGCCAATGATACTCGAAACTTCACAATTCGATCTGATTATCACATATTTGGATGAGGTGTTTATGTAATTGGATTTGAATTTTACAATCTGCATATGATTAATAATTAAAAACAAAAAATAAAAATACATAAAGTTTATAGAAAATTTCGGACATATTATTATTATAATTATCATCATCTAGAATCGTCACGTGCAAAGCACATGCACATTTACTAGTTTTTTTCAAAGGGTTGATGTGATTACAATCGACTAATCCTTATCTGAACCTAGAGCTACATCAACACAGTCAAGTGTCCATAGAACCTCTTATACGACCACAATTAATGTCAATTGACACACATCTCATACAAATTGCAATAACCCAATAGTGGTAGTCGCTCATATTTGATAAGATCCCATAAAGGAGTACTATTTGATCGATTTGCTCGAATCTTCTGCGCAAGGTACCAATTGTTTGGTTGGTTGGTAAGGCCTCTTGTTGGTTGTAGCCAAGGCCTGAGATTGAATCCCGCTTGCACTAGGGTTGTAGGTTCATGGATTGGGGATGGGCTACCCATGGTTGTTGATCAATTTCAACTCTAGTTGGCACATGGCTAATCCAACATTTTTATGTTTGAAAATTTAAACAAATTCAAAGTGAGCTTGTTTAGATTCTTTTATTGGAACCAAAATGCCTTTGAAAGCTCTCGTAGGAACAAGTTATAGAGTATATATCGATCAAAGAGAAAAAGTGTCTATACATTGATTTTAACGAAAAAAAATTTGACCTAGGGCCAAAGATTGATTTCTTTGAAGATTAAAATAATCTTCAGATCTTTGATTTTATTCACGTTTAAAGAGTTGTTAGATGCTAAGATCTTAAATGCAATAATTGTCATATGCAAATCTATTACATAAAAGTATTTTTTTGGAATTTAATTTCTATAAAAGCATTTTTTTAAATTTAATTGGAGGGATTTTCTTGTCATTATACATTTTCATCTGTATTTAGTGCTATATTATTTTTCAATTTAACATGAATTACAATTTTTAGGCTAAACTAATTTTTGTTTAAAAAGGATGAAAATAATAATTAAATATTTTATATTTAAAATCATGCACGCCCATTTTGTAAAAAAAAAACAGTCTAAAGGAGTCCACACCTATTTTTGAATTTCAGGGAAAGTTTCAACTAATTTCAAAAAATATAGGGAAAATTTGAGCAAATTTCCCCAAATAAAAATCAGATATAGCTGCGCCGTTCTCAGGACGGGAGTCATTTAGCCAGTTGGGGAGAGAGAGAGAGAGAGAGAGAGAGGGGGGGGGGGGAAATCTAGCGAGGGGCATTTCGCTACTTTCCCGAGTTTTGAGCCGAGCCAACCATGGCCATGGGGGATTGATTGTGGGCTGAGGAAAGAAAGGGAAAGGGCGGGGGGGAATTAGAGAGAAACGCAGAGTCGCAGAGAGGGAAGACGGTGTTAATCATTGTAGTGGGCCTGGGAGCCTTACGCAGGGGTGGGACCCTTTTAAAGCAGAAGGCTTTTGTGTGGTGTGGTGCGGTCACACTCGTTTTTTTTTCTCGATTTCCTTTTTAGTTTTCTTCTTTTTAGATTTCTAATTCGTTAATTTTCAATCATTCTCTCTCTCTCTCTCTGTCTATATCTATCAGAGTTGATATTTTTCAATATTCTTTTGTAAATTTTCAATCGTAGTCTCCTCCTCCTCCTCTCTCGTTCTGAGAAAGAAAAAAGGAGAAAAAAAGGATACCTTTTTCATTCTCAATTCTGGGGTTCTGACCATTTGTAGTTTCCTCCTCTCCTCTGCGTCTTTACTCCTTTGCTGAACCAGGTCTGTTGCTTCTCCCTTTTGCGCCAATTGGGCTGCATATTCTTTTATAATTTCTCCAATTTTTCGGGTTTTGTTTTATTTACTGTAGACAAAAATACAAAATCTGCCTCTGTTATTTATTTTTGTGGTTTTCTTTTTTCTTTTAATGGCCTCTGTACATCTGTTTAAGTGAAATTTCTTGGGTTCTTTTGGTTGCTGGTGGATCTCTGATTTTTCAGGGCATTTCTGTGGATTTGATCATGTTGTCTTTTTAGGGCTTCTACTGTTGGAACCGACGGTTTGAGGGTTTCTCTTTGTTTCTCTCTTCTTGGGGGAGTTTGGGGTATTGGGAATCGGGTTTCTGGGACTGGTAAAGAGGGGGATTGCAGTTCTCTTTCATGGGTTTCATTGTCTGATGGCTACTATAGAGAGTTGAATCATAAGAGAGAAGAGGGGAATTGTGTGTTGCTCATATAACAATTTATCTTCCTCCTTTTCCCCATATTTCGGTGTTGAGTTTCGACCTTCGAGTTCATCTGTCTTTGGTCTTCTTTTCCCCCCCTCAAGGTTGGAATTTCTTTGAGTGACGGTAAACCAGGGAAAGGTTGGAATTTCTTCTCTGCATCAGGCATTTCGGTGTTGAGATAATTGAGAGTCACAAAGGGGATTCATTTGCTTCATTATCTTGTCATTCGAGGCGTCTGGTGTTCTTACTTATGACGGGATATCCTTGTCTTATTTGGAGAAATTGAGCAGTTGGGCTACTTTGCTTGGTTCCAAAATATCCATTTTGGAACTACAGTAATTGGTGGGGGAGGATGGAGGAGGAGATCGTTCCTTCGGAACAAAGTGAGCTTTTGCATTTTGTGAATGGAAGCAATTCTGAAGATCCCTTATGTGCAGAAATGGAAACTGATGGAAATGGAATTGGAAATGCTAAAGATGATGGAGAGTTATTCTCATCTGAAAAAGGTGAGGGAAGTAATGTTGTTTTCTCACGGGAAGCACCTCTGATGAACAAAGATCCCAGAATGTCCGGTGGCTGTAGTTGCAGTGTCAGGAAACCCAAGTCAAGGACATCTGCAGCAGATTTTGATATCTACAAAAAGGATAAAAACGGGCATGACAAGAAGTTCAGTAGACAAGACAGGATTGAGTTGGGCAGAATGTTTCAGAGTGCACTAAACTCTCATGACTGGGAGCTTGCAGAGAGTCTGATTCTGTTAGCAGACCCCCAAACTCTTAATGATGCATTGTGTATAACGTTGGATTCCATCTGGTTCTTGAGCACTCAACAGGAGTTACATGGCATAACAGGTTTGATCAAGAAGATCATTGCCAATGGTGCTTATGACTTCACAAGAGCAGCTCTGAGGACTTCATTTCTTGCATCCTGTGTCTCTGCCTGTCAGAGCCGGACAATGAGTTTAGCAGATACGGTGACTATCATGGCCCAAAGGTAAAACTTATTTTATTTGCAATTCAGATAATATATCTCTTGGCTGCGAATTATAATATCACAATACCATTTGAATTCTTTGTTTTAGTTGATAAATAACAATGCTTGTTGAAACATAAGTATTTAAGAGGATCAAAGGACAAAGATACAAAACAATCTCCAGAGCTGTAGGCAGGTATCAACAAACAAAGATATGTTTATGCTTCTTCTCTAGTCAAGGAGTTGATTCTATTATCATCATCTATTAATTATTAGGGCTGGTGGCAGGTCCATGTGCCTCTTTACTCACACGGTCACACTCAAGTAATTATTATATTAGCAGAATTCCTTTTAAAATTTAGTCCAATAAATATTTGAGATTGAAGTTCAAATGCTTCCATCAGCATTAAAATTTCCACCTTATTTCCATACTTAAATCATAGTAGATGGGGAATTCAGAATTAAGTTTTTCTATTTGCATAGATAAAATTTCCAGTTAAGCTTCTATTTGAAGTTGAATTTTGGAGATCCTATAGTTGCTTTCGAGGTTTCCTCTTTGTTTTTCCTTTCTGAAAATTCTTCTTTATAAGCAAATCTTGAACTGAAGTTTCCAGCTGCTGATTTGGGCACATTCCATTTTGGTAGTTAAGCTGGTTGGAACCTATTTTAGATAATAAATAATCATTGCAGATGGAATTTTTAGTTTTCATCTCTAACTTTAATCATATGCTTTTTCTCCATCTAGTATCTAATATTATCCAACAGAATGTGCATTTTATTATACTATCTTTTTTACTTTTTTTTTATCAAACTCATCCACTTATGGAATCTGTTTGAAACCTTACCTTTCTAACATGAACATTGAAGATGTGAAATGTTAAAACATTCCAGTCATACCATTTCCTTCTAAATGTTGGGGGGAAAAGGAATGGAAGCTTTTCAATCAAAAAGAGTGGAATCGACCATCGCAATATAAAACCTGTTGAAGCCACAGTTATGAAGATTAATTCCATGAGATAGGAATCAAGTTCTTATTTTGCAATTATGTGAAACTATAAATGACATGGTGTGCCTATTACCTATTTATATGCGATAAACATTTAAATTACAAGCACATGTTGTGTTATCATGTCATTCCCTTGGCTGTGTTTAAATTATGGTGGACATGGAAACACATGATGGAAACAATTCAAAATTAGTTACTTTTAAGATTTTGCAATTGGGAAAATCTATGATGCAGAAAAGATATGGTATGGGAAGAGTTTTGACCAATCAAAACCCACCCATGAATTTTGATAAATAATACCTAATTGGCTATCACGTTTATGATTCCAGTTGACTGGTCAGAAGTTTTTCAGATATCATATTTTTTCCATATCATAGTCGAACCCTTTGCAATTTGTCTTGAGGAAGGAAACTAAAGAAAACCCAAAGAGAAATGGTTTTTTAGTTGTATCTTTCTCTACTTTAGTGAATTCTGTCGTTTTTTTTGGGGGGGGGGTAGTAATTTTAGACCCTTTATTTTGTGGTAATACATTTCTACTCCAAAAATCCAAACATAACATTATTGACTTAGAGGGAATCCAAAAGTTTTTTCCCTTTTCTTAATCATTGATTTTTTTTGGTGAATGTACTGTAGTTGGTTGTGATGTGTTTCTTTTATTCTAGTTAGTATGCAGATTTTCAATTGACACAATAGATGAACGGATTTATTTTACCTTTGCTTCTTTATCAGGTTACATGAGCGCCTTCAAGAATGCAATGGGGATGAGGTTTTGAAGGCAGAAGCTGGTGCTAAAGTCCAGAAATTTACAGAATGGGCCCTGAAATGCATAGGTTTCCATTCCCGTTGTCAGGGGAGTAGGGATAGAGTAAGTCATGGTTCAGCCGTTGAGATCCAACTTCAGTTGTCAGCATTCAAGACATTTCTAGATCTTGCTGGTAACCAGCTTACTGGGAAGGACTTCACTGAGGCCTTTGATGCGGCTTGCTTTCCCCTCACCCTCTTCTCTAGTTCTTTTGATCCTGGTTGGGCATCTGGACTTTCGGTTACTGCAATCCAAGGGTTGCTAGGAATGTTGGTAGAAGGCGGTGCAGACAATGTCAACCAGTGCTTTCTTGAAGCCTCACGTTTTGGGAGCACCGAGCTTGTCCGCATCTTACTGCAGGTATCCTAATTGTTTACGTTGTGGGATAGTTTTTGGTTGTGTTCTAATTATCTACCTTCTGGTAATTTATGCATACATAATGATTTTGGAAAGTGAACTTACTCCTGTGCAAAGGTTTAATGTCATGTAAGTTGGTAAAAAATTGACAAAAAGTGGAAATATTTGGTGCCATTAGTGCATCATTGGTACAGAAGCCATGCCCTTCTTTTTAATTGTTAATACCAGATATGTACGTGTTTATATTGGACCTGCCATTAAGTTTGTATTGTTTAGAAGGTTTGCCAGATAAGACAACCTTAACTCAACTCAATTAGGCCTTGTCCTGACTATATGGGGTCAGCTACATGAATTCTGTTTTTCCATTCTTCTCTGTTTAGTGCCATGCCCATTGTTAAACTATGAGCTCTTAAAACAGCCAGATCAGATGACCTGAATCACCTAATCTATCTCATTCTGTATACTGTTGGAAACAATACAGTTAACAAGTCTAGAAATTTATCCAGTCAAGGGATTGCTTTAGCTCACCTTTTTCTTGTATGAGCCCAATTAATGCAAATACAAAGTTAAGGTAAAAATAAGAAATAGCAAAAGATCTCCATATACAGTTACAGCTGGCTTCCCCCATTTCTGGATCCCTAACATAAGAGTGACACAGGTTTTTTCTTTTAAAGGTAAGGTATAATCTTTTAAAATAAAAAGTATACAAGGTTCTATGTAGAAAACAATTTTATGACCCAGAGTCCTGTTACAAGCTATCAAATTTTACTTGACCTTTTTCAAAAAATAAAAGAAAGAGAAAAAACAACCTTACTGTGGCGCGTTAAAGTTCTGTTGCTAAACAAAACATATCCGGCAGAGCTGTACCAAAGTCACACTCCATGTAGAAATTAATATCAAAATTCATAAGTTGTACCAGTGATTTAAAAGGCATGAGTGTGCCTAAGCACACAGGTGAGGTGAATTTTAGGGTATGTGCCTTGCCTAGGTCCCAGGCACAGCACTTTCAGAAAGTTCTCACCTGGTGTGCCTTGCACTTCAGCCTAGGTATGCACCTTTCGAAAAATTGTTCATTTTTTTCCTGTTGCCTAGCATCTGCCTCCAGACCCCGACCAAGCCCCTCGAGGCAAAGATTTTTAATTTTTAAAAACTCCATATTTGTTAATGTTGCTCATTCATTCATTTTAATAAAAAAGATATTTTTAAAAGACGCTTAAAGTTATAAAAATCTTTTTTTAATAGGGATTAAGAATTGAAGATCCTGATATGGACTTGTTTGGGCTTTGCCTTGAGGGGCTTGGTACAAAGGCAGCTTGTAGAATCAGGAATACATAATGTTTAGCATCACATTAGCTATTTGAAGTAATGCAATTGGGAAAAAAATAAAGAGATTAAGAGTTTACATTCTTGAATATGTTTTATATGTTATGTTTGATTTTATTTTTAAATTTTCATTTTAAATATGTTTTATATGTTATGTTTATGTATTTTAATTTGAGATAATGTGATTTTTTTAAACATTTATTTTCAAGTTTAAGTTTATATTTTTAATTAATATTGTGTTTAATATTTTTAATGTTTTGTATTTTTTGAAATTTTTTACCATTTTTTTGCATTTTGCACCTTGCTTCAAAAAGGCACATGCCTCACCTTGGGCCTCACGCTTCGGATGCAAAATGGCCCTTGCAATTTTTTTTTTTTTTTTTTTTGCGCCTTGTGCTTTTAAAACACTGAGTTGTACTCATTTCAGTATTTCTCTAGAACTCTTACGTTGTGTTTGGTTGTCAAGAAAATGAAAGATATGGAAAAAATCTTAAAGAAGGGAGACCAAACCAGAAAAGAAAGTTAAGATAAAATAGCAGAACAAGGGGTGGGGACAGTCAAATGTTCTGAGCACAGTTGTAAGAAAGAATGAATGGGGAGATAAAAACTCCTTTTTCTCTCCAATGGGTGAATGCATGTTTTTACATTAAAATTGCTGTTAATAAAATGGTTGGTTATTGATAAAAATGTTCAGATAAAACTGGCTTTTTCTTTCCTAAAAAGCAGAGAGAGTGGAGAAACAGGAGACCATTGGAGAGCAAGAGGATGCAAAACTGGTTCTATCTGAAAGGAGTCTTTCTTTTCTTTTCTGTTATCTCGTTTTCTTCATGATCAAACATGGTGTTACCATTTGTTCTCATAGAAGACCAATATACTTACTCCCTTTTACAGTGCTCCTATGGTTATAGGGAAAATACAAAGCATCTCCTAGATCTAAGTATCTTTCATGAAGAGTAAAATAAATGTGATAGAATTCTCCATATCTAGGATGGTACAGACAAGTAAATAAGATCTTGAAAAAGCCAATACTTTTTTTTTCTAGATAAACTAGACTAGTTTCTTAACACAAGACAAGGACTTCTTTTCCAAGACAACTATGGTGGATATTTAATTTTTTTTTGAATAAATTGGTATTTTCCATGTAATATGAAGATAAGTAATTTGAGAAAGCTTTTTGGGCTACTCTACTTTGCAAGGGCAAAGGGGACATTGAGATGGGCTGGATGCCCTGCAGAATGAGTAGGAATACTAGGTTTTAAACCATATTTTATTTGTTTTTAAATATCTCCTTCAATCATATAGATCTACATCAAGATATGGAGATATGAGTAGGATATGAAAAATACCTGTAACTTTCAAAAGCACAAAATGTAAAGAAGAGCCAAGCATCTTGATGGAACCACTCAAAATGATTATGACTGTAGTTTTTATTCCCCATTGTGGAATGCCAGATAAGATTGAGGAAAAAGGATCTATGAGCTCAAGATTGATAATGGAGATCTCTATTCCTTCCTTTTATTCTGGAATATATGTGCACAATCTATCCATTCTCTGGAACTGCATGAAAGGGACCAAAACCTAACCAGAAAATAATGAAATGTTATTTTTGTTTTTTCCAACTCCATGAATTGATTGTATATGAGAGAATCCCACCTCATATTGTCCGTTTAGGCTTCGCAAACCTAAGTTGACTTTTGGATGAAGGCTTTCTTTTCATTGTCAATTTCTAAAACCATTTTTCATGTGGGAGCTTTTCTTGGAGACAAACCATCTTTGCCCTGTGCAAGGGTAATACCAGTGGGATAGGGGGTCTGGCCAGCATATATCTAAGTGATGCTTGGCATAATGTATATAAAAAATTCTTTTATTTGAATTAGTAAAGCTTAACAGTTACTAATCGTAAAAATGAGGCTTGATTCAGGTGTAATGGATAAACCAATTTGCATTAGTTGGCCTTTATAACCTGCAGGATCAGCAAACCTTCTCTTTGGAAGATTCCAGTATGAAAACAAAGAGCTCCTTTAAGTAATCCCTGGGTTTTTTGTTTTATATTTTGTTGTAGTTGCTAGATGCTTTGTTTATACACTTGATTCAAGTATTCTTGATTGGTTTTTAATCTACCAAAGTAGTGTTTGGAGAAAGAGTGGAATGTCTATACTCGGTTTTTTGGTTTAACAACCTCTTGTTGTAACTCTTTTAATTTTTAATTAATGACTTCTTCTCTTTGTTGCTGATCAGAAAAAAAAGGTAGTGTTTGGTATTGTGTTATTTTTTGTGTTTCATTTGGTTCCAGAACGCACCATAACATCTGGGTGTTCTTTTAAGCCATTTTTGGTTCTGGAACCAGGATACGTGTTCTGGAACTCAAAAATATTGTAGGCTTTTGAATAAACTTATTTCTTGTGTTCCCAATACCACACTGCTCTAGCTTTTGAAACACGCCACATTACAACATGCAGAGCACTATCTGGGTATGGTGTGTTGTCAAAATATGTTGTTTCAACCAAACCACAGTGGGCCCAGTGGTTTGAAACACAACACACCTAGTACAGAAAACTCTCTAAATTATATTCTTGAACCACGTTAGACATTAATTTTCTCTATTTCTAGTGGGCAATACTTGGTAAATTATCCAACTTATACACTGTAGACGCAGATACATGAAAAGACACAAGGCAAATAGCTGGGTGTACAAGTCAGTTGTGGTGCACCAAGAATGCTTTCTGATAGGGTTCTTCATCTCAAGTGTGTTTTGCCATAGCTGTGTTCTATGCTTTATCCCCCCCACCCCACCCAAAACACGCACAAGCAAAAAGAGAATAAAAGGAAAAAAGTGAGGAAAGAAGAGGAAAAGCTCTGATAACTATTTGCTGCATTTCACATAACTATTTGCTGCCTTGCTTATAATAAATTGCTTGATATGCATTGGGTAACTGGGCAATGGGGTGGGTTAATCAGGTAACCTACTCTACCTCTAGCGGGAAAGTATGACTTAGATTGATGCCTTGGGCATTTTGTATCTCACTGTCTTGTGCCTCACTGCATGCCCTGGTTAACTCTATTCATGCCTTCATGGGATGGGTCGCCCAACCCATACCAAATATGACCTATTGACATCCCTTGTTCAGTGAATCTTGGGGAACCCAGGCCAATATCTAAGGTATAGTAACTATAGTTATCACTATATGAACAACACTGACATGTGTAAGTTTGGCAAAATCTGTTTTTTCTCATATTTTTTACAGTTGAATGTGAACTTTTGAAGGGGGTACATCAATCATCATGCAGTGCTGACTTGGTTTCTTTTTCTTTCCTATCGCAATTTTTCTATCTTGGATTGGTCTGTTTTAGATAGCCCAAAGAAACAGCTTGGATGTGGATGTTGACTTGGCTCTGGGCTTTGCTTCACACTACTGCAAGATAGGAACCATGGAGTGTCTTGTTGAAGAGGGTAATGCTATTGCTTTTTTGGGCCCTTTGATGAGAGCTGCAGAGAGAGGATGCATGCAGGTTGTACAATGGTTTGTCCAAAGAGGATGCCGGGACATGGAGCTTTGCCTTGCACTGACTGCAGCCACCTCCAGCAGTCAAGTAGGAATTGCTGCATACCTTCTTCCTCATGTTCCCCAGCATGTCCTTGCTGCCCTCAGCATTGAGATTCTTAAAGCTGCTGGGGAGCGAAGTGGCGGGTCACTTGATGGTGTTGCTTTCCTCCTCCGTTCTGACTTCCTGGGTGACCCAGCTGCAACCTATGCTGTTGCGGACAACATTGCAAGGTCAGAAGATGAAGCTGTCGCTCCAGATCTGAAGGCCTTCCTGCGGGAACATTGGTCGGAGGCAGCATTCTTGGATGGGTTGAGATGTGAGCAAGATCACTATGTGAATGTGATGAGGATCTTGAACTGGGGTGGGTCTCCCATGTGTCTGAGAGATCTCCCGGGCCCGCTGAAGGTAGCCATTACATACTTGCCACTGTACAGGGAGTGTTTGAAGGCAGGTGGGCGTTTGTTTTCACAGCGGTTAAGGGGCCAACTTTTGGAAGCTGCAAGGAGGCTGGGTGGTGGGCCGGTGGATGAGGCAAGTCAGGGAAGAGAACTCCTGGCTGTTTTGGAGCATCATCTACCCCCATTTTTGCTTGCTGCGCCAAATGTTGCTTGATACATGAATTTATTCATCAATTTTCGCTTCTTTTCCAATATATATCTCAATAAAAATCGTATTAATATTTAGAAGGGTTTTAATGTGACAATCTGGCAAGCTGTCTGATTCTTCTGGTCATGTGATTAGCTGTTATCTTCATCTCTACATCTGTTTCTATATCTTATTATTATATATGGCTATTTTTGTATGTGTAACTATCACTATACTGTTCTTTTTTGAGTGTCTTTTTCTTTTTTCTTGTCAAAAAAAAAAAAAAATACTATTACTATACAATACAAGTAAGTCTATATATAGATATATTATAGTTATGACGTATTAAGGGTTTCTTGATTTTCTTTTTTGGGAATAAAGAGAATGGGAAATTTATGGCTCGCTCTCCTTAAAAAGTTTTATTGTTTTTTTCGAATGTATTATCCCAAGCCCCCACTTATGTTACATTACCCCCTTGCATTGTAATAGATTCCCTTATTTGTTACTGTTCCTAGTTATATAAATCTATAAATTTATGAGGTGGGGGAATCTATAGAACCCCCAAAGAAAAAAGAATAGTACGTAGGTCTGAAAGCATTCCACTAGGCGTATGTACATTTATATGACAATCTTTTTTTTTAGTGATATGTTTGTTTCGATATAAGGTTAGAAAGGACTTAATCTTGAGCTGATTTAGCATCACAAGGTCCGTATTTTTGCAGCCAAAAAAACACCCATCACCCTCTAATGGGTCTTTTCGGGAGGATTTCAGCTTTGATTGAGCTGCTTTGGATAAGCTATTAAAGAAGTCTCATGGGAAAGAGAATTTTATTTGGTTGAATGATAGTGTATTTGGGCTTTTTGGGTTTTTCACCAAATATAGCTTCTAGGTTGTCTGTATGGAGCCCACCTGGCAGAGCCTCGAGTAAAAGTGTAATGGGTTGGGCCGGGCTGGCACAACCCACTTTTGTGGGCTGCTGTTTTAAGCAAATTGAAAAAGAATAAAAAAATTAAATAAATTAACAAGATAGACAACAAATTCAAAAAAGTCTTAGAATTTTATTCATATTTGATGTATACAATTGTTTATATGAAATAATGAATTAAAATTAAAAAAATTACAATAAATTTGAATTAGTATAATAAACTTGAAAGGGCTGGGTTGCACCGTGTTGGCATGATTCCTCACAGGTTGCATGCCGTCACGATTGGCGGGCCATAAACCCTTGGCCCAGCCTGGCTTCGGGGGTCATCCTGTGCCAGGCACGGCCTGTCACCATAGCTGGTGGGAGGCACGGGGCTCCGGGGTCATTCTGTGCCAGGCATGGCCTGTAACCATAGCTAGTGGGTGGCACAACACATTTCACACCTCTAGCCTTGAGTCATTGTGTGACGAGCTCACTGCCCCACAGTTCATAATGCATGGTTGGGATGTACTGTGGGGCACCCTCTGTGGGGAGCCAATGCGAATTCCTGTGTGAAAACTTTCTTACACAGGCATAAAGCCTAACTTTTACAGAAGCAGCAGCTATTTTGATGGGTCAGTATGGGGCATCCTTGTGGGGAGCCAATCCTTAAGTTGCAGGAAGTTGGTTTTATCTCAAGGATGCCTGTCAACTTTTGCACAGGCACAAGGTTTTATTCTGGTTCATTAGAAAGGATGAAAATCTGACTGCTCAGTGCTCGCTTAGCTGCATGTAAGGGTTATTGGGGGATTGTTGTTATTATTTTTTTTTTACACGACAGCAGTGATGTCGGTGGTTGGTTTTGCTGCTGTATTTGTTTCCTTTTTTTCTGTTGTTCTGCTTGAACTGTTGATTTATTTGAATTCATCATCATCATCATTTTCTTCTTCTTCTTATCTCAACTATATGGGGTTAGTTATATGAATCCTGTTCTGCCATATGTTCAATGTCATATCCATTGTTAAATTATGAGCCCTCCAATCATTTCCTACTAGTTCAACTCATGTTCTTTTAGGCTATGTTTGGTTTGAAAGAAAATGCAGGTAAAGGATGGGAAAGGTAAGGAAACCTTTACAAACCTTATATAGGCTTTCTTGTCTTTCCCTACCTTTTCTTTCAAACCAAACATAGCCTCAATTTCCCATAGCTCTTCTAGCTCTTACAATTTGTAAAAGATCTATAGATGGTGGTCTTTGCATGAGACTATGTTCATAATTTACTTACTCATTATTACCAATTGGAAATACTCTTTAGGTTTTATCAAATTAGTTTATGTTCTCATTTTTTTGATATGCTGTTTATCACCATGCTCCATACAACCAAGCTGGTATTACAATTGTTTGATGAAAAATTTCTTTTAGCCTAAGTGGTATCGTCTATGACATAAGACTTCCATGCACCCCTTGCCTTTTGCCTGTTCTAATTCTACCACCAACACCTTATTCAGCCTTTCCCTTGTTTTGGATGGATTATTGAATTAACGTTTGGAATCCAATTTTAAGAATATCCTAATTTGCATTCATCATCATCATCATCATCATCATCATCATCATCATCATCATTATCATTATTATTAAATTTACACTTCATGTATTTTATTTTGGTCTTTATTTTAAAACTTTTCTTTCGTAGATATTCATTATAAAAATAAGGGAAATTGTCTAAAATCACCACAATTTTTCAGCATTTCTCTTAAACTCATTATGACTTTTCAAAACATCTAAAGAACCCTATGTGAATAAGTTTTTGTTTTCCAAAAAGCCAAAACTCACCATCCGTTAGAGCACCATGAGTGTTACATTGACAGAAGTTGTCCACATCGGCCTTATTAAACATGTTTTTATGACTAAAATGCCCTTAAATGCCCAATTACCTTATTTATAAGATTTCTGCTCGTTGAGTGACATTTTGCTCTCACTGTGGTGCTTGAAAGTATTCCAAGGAAGCTGAAAAATAGGTTTTGAGTCGAATAATAGCAATGATATTTCTGAAATATTGAAAAATGGGTTGAATATAACAAAGGGTAAAATAATTATCTACTAATACCTGTTAGTTTGTTTAACGTCAAGTTACTGACATGGGGTTCACTAGATGTTTAGCTATGGTGAGTTTAAGAGAAATGCTGAAAGTCATGGTGAGTTTTAGACAATTTCCCTAAAAATAAATTTGCATTTAATACTTCGTTAGTTTAATTAATAAATATTATGTTTTTAGCAAGGTTCAAAATATCAATATCGTGCATTGTGTCAATTAATTTGAAAATGGATATATAGATGCACTTCTGATATGCATAGATACGGATACAGTTGGATAAATTTGGGAAATTCCAAAAAATTCCACAAATACATTAATAGTATTAAACCTAAGGTTGAAATAACTCTAAGTTATAAAGACACAGGAAATGTAGAAATACATTAGAATCTTTTTTCTTTTTGGTACCAAAAATACATTAGAATCAATATGGTGGGAAATGTAGATATACAACTTTATTGATGATGCATCAATTAAGAGTCTAAAAAAATACTATGCCGATTTTTACAAATTACTAATATCATAAAGTCATTAATATGTTATTATTATTTAAGTTGCATTATTAATTATTAATTACATGAATATCATTAATCTAAAAATATATTTTATTCATGAGAATATAGATGATCCAAGACACAAATCTTATGCAACTATTATATTTTAATTACCAAATCAAATATTTCCTATTTTATTATTTTTAACTTTTGTATATTAACAAAAAATAAGTCAAATTAATCTTAAAATTTTAAATATTTTGTAAATAATATTGTTATTTTTAAATAATAAATATGCTGTTATCTATGGAAAATTAGAATATAATTAATAATTTATAAAAACATATAATCTTGATTAAAAAATATACTAAATCCGCTGCAATTTATGAGATACATATTATATGCAAATTCATAAATTTGAAATCCAAAAGGAGAACAATTAGTGGGGAATAAGGAGTGGTTAAAAGCACAATTAATGAAAAGTGGGATTTAGTGAGTTAAATGGCACAATTAATAAGCATTTAAATTTAATCTCAAAATAAATGGTTTGAAATCAGTCAATACAGACCAATTGGATAGTGGATACGACACATGGGCATGGGAGGAATTGTGTTAAATTGGAGCATTCCACCCATTCCACATGTTAATCCCCTTGGGCCTTGGATACTGATATAATATGTCTTGTATTAGATGTAATTGTTTTGATACCTTGAACCTTGGTTAGCAAACAATAAGGACCATGGAAGCTCCTCTTGAATATGTTTAGTCAATTCATCTATGACTAGTGCAAATAAATAAAGACTAAGTGCTATTAGACCTTTTGAATAACAGTCAAGAAGATCTTATGAAAATTGAACATTTTCGGATAGATGTAAAACAGATATTGGACATTTTACAAAAACATTTGGCAATTGATTTACCTAAGAATAAGTTTTAAATCCATTGGAATTATTTCATCTTTTTTATATAAAATCTAAAAAGAAAATGGATAGATGTAAAATAGATATTAGACATTTTACAAAAACATTTGGCAATTGATTTACCTAAGAATAAGTTTTAAATCCATTGGAATTATTTCATCTTTTTTTTTTATAAAATCTAAAAAGAAAATGGATAGATGTAAAATAGATATTGGACATTTTACAAAAACATTTGGCAATTGATTTACCTAAGAATAAGTTTTAAATCCATTGGAATTATTTCATCTTTTTGTTTTATAAAATCTAAAAAGAAAATGGATTTTGAATCTTCAACACAGCCCATAGCCTTGGTTCTTGGTGAAGATATATGAGAACCATAAAATTGGGTCGTCTCTCCTATAGGTCTTTCAACATTAGTTGTTGCATTCTTAATGCATATCCTTAATTAGGTCATATATCTGTTTAGTATCTTTTTCTTTTTGATACCCACTATACCCATTTCTTCTCTCTAAAGTTTTTTTTTTATCAATGGTCTCAATAAAAAGATGGTTTTTCTTGTCGAATATACCTGCTTTATATCATCATAGGGTTTCATAATGTAGCACACGAATTTAATCTCACAATAATATTACATCTTTGTATATTGGTTTTACTTTTAAATATAGGCACAACTAGGGTTACAACTTGGATTGGATTGGGTTTGGAGTTTATTAAATTTTCAATGGACCCAAAATCTA